CCACAGACCCGGCTTGGTGGGGAACATGCCCTGACTCTTTCAGGTCAAGCAGCGGCAGGACGTCTCTCTCGGTTCTCTCCATCACCCGACCGAGAGGAATTGCTGGTGTTTCCGTGGGGAAGGCAGGTCAGCACACAGAAAAGACTTGCCTTCCACTCGGAGAGCACTGCGGTGGGCAGGCAGCACTGAACTGCCGCTTGGCGCGACGAAAAGGAAAGAGATGAGCAGGAAATGGACTCAGGTGCTGTATTTACAGCCAGGAGGGGTACAGAGGAAAGCAATCAGACCTGTCTGTTTGTGCTATCCCATAATATGAAGCCACTTGATGGAATTAGTAGCCGGTCCAGTTTAAAACTAACAAAAGGCCTTCACTGCTGCTAAGATCAGAGTCAACTAAAGCGGCTGGTTTGAACAGATAGGGCCTCGCAAATTTCATAGACAATATATCAGTGTTTGTGGTTATGTGCTAAGATAGGGGAAAGGTGATCTCATGCTTCAGGGCACCAGTTGATTGCTCCAGGGGTCAGGAAGGAAATCCCACCCCCCTCCCCACACACACACACACCATGCTGTACTGCACAATAGGCTAGGTGCCTTATGGGAGGTTTTCATTTTCTTTGGAAAGCATGATGGATCAATGGGAAATCCTAGAGTCAGAAAAATCCATGCATTTTTCCTGTTCTTAAGAAGGGTTTTGGTAGCCGGGTGGGAGACAAAGCAGCCCTAGCCTAGCCCTGTGCAGTCCCAATGGAGTGGAAGCCAATAGGGCTGATGGGCTGAAAACAGAGCGTTTGGCCAAGATCTTGATTGATTTTTCCTGTATCTCTGGTTCTTAAATGTTAACACTTGCTGTGTTCGATCTGGGAGGTGTCTGCCTGAGGATTTCCAGCCGCCGCTTGCAAGCGCAACACACACTACGCTGTGAAAGTCAGAGGGGGACGGGAATGCTAGCGGTCCTAGGATCTGGTTTGACCACACCTAGACCTGCTCAGGGATAGATGAGAGGCACCGTATAGACTCGATTCACTCGTGTCCGAATTCTGCTCAGTACAGAGGTGGTGGCACCTGCAGTTACCACCGATGACTAGGGTGATGGCTATTGAGTGTTTACTGGTACGAGGAGGGGCCAGTTACAGCCCCTTGATTCTGCACCAGTCCAGCGTGAGTTAGAGCAGCCTAAGTGCTGCTCCAACTTATGCTAGTGAAGAATCAGCATAGCAGAACTTCCCCATACCCCTGTGCACCCCTCCCCGGCTATTCCTCCTGTGTCATGGCTGGCGAGGGACGACTGGTGCAGAAGCTGCCTTGCCCAGGTTTATATCAGCAGGGCATTCCCCTCCATGTGGGGAAATCTCCACTGCTCGCATACAGCTTGTGCCCTGCTCAGGGTCACAATGGGGCCTCACTGATGGCCATATTAGGGTCAGGAAGGAATTTTCCCCTGGGTCAGATGAGCAGAGACTCTGGGGGGTTTTCACCTTCCTCTGCAGCATGGGGCACGAGTCACTCATTGGTTTGAACTAGTGTAAATGGTGAATTCTCTGTAACTTGGGAGTCTTCAGTAACTCCGCCAGAGGCTGGGCTCTGTTAGAGGAGTGGGTGGGTGACGTTCTGTGGCCTGTGATGTGCAGGAGGTGAGACTAAGTGATCGTGATGGACCCTTCTGGCCTTAAAGTCTCTGAGTCTATCTGGTGCGCTGCCAGTGGGTAACCAAAGCTATTCAATGAGAGCGACCCCTTCTGTCAGCCCCCTGAGGTCCCTGGACTTGTTCTGGTGTTACACCAGGCTGTGCCAGGCCAGGCAGCCCCAGCAGTTCCACGCCCCAAGAGGAGCTCTCCCCAGATCAAACACAGACCTGGATGATTGCATCACTGGGGATTTTCAGGTCTGTCATTTCGGGGGCCCTGCTCCATTAACCCACAGGCAGGGCATGCAGGATAGGGGTATGTCCACACTGGGGGCTGGGTGTGGGGGGGTAATTCCCAGCGTGAGGAGATGAACCGGCGCTGGCTCCCATCAAGATAGAGGGCTAAAAACAGGGCGCAGCATGAGCAGCAGGAGGGGCCAGCTGCCCCACGTGTGTGTACAGCCAGGGCACCCTCAGGGCAGAGAGCTCAGCAGTGCTAGTGCTGGGGTGGGGGCACCTGTGGAGGAGACCTGGCTGAGCTATTTTACCAGCATGACATCCAGCCCTGCCCTGAGGGGGGAGCTCCATCAGTGCCACAATTTGCACCAGTCCAGTGTACCCTGCTTTCAAACTGCACCAGTGCAGACTGTGGCTTATGGTGCTTTTGCCTTTTTGCCCTAGCAGCCTAGGGTTCCAGTCCAGTGTGTACAAAGCCTAAGGAATAAATCAAGGCTCCCTTTGCTAGCTCTCGGGCATGGATTTGCTTGCTTGTGGGGAAATAAAACTACACCTCTACCCCGATATAACGCTGTCCTCGGGAGCCAAAAAATCTTACTGCGGTATAGGTGAAACCGCGTTATATTGAACTTGCTTTGATCCGCCGGAGTGCGCAGCCCTCCCCCCCTCTCCCCTCCGAGTACTACTTTACCGCATTATAGCTGAATTTGTGTTATATCGGGTCGCGTTATATCGGGGTAGAAGTGTATTTTGATAAGTCCAACTTCAAAAACTACCCAGAGCGAAAGGCCCGAAGTTGGATTTAGATATTTTCTTCTGAGCTCATCCCCAGAGCTCTTCACATTGGGAATAAACTCAGAAAAGCATCTACAGGCCACTTTGGAGTTGGATGCAATAATCAATCTTCATTTTGCACAGGAATGTAATGTTGGGTCCCTCCTGGGTTCCGATGATGATTTAATAAGCTATAATTTAATTAAAATGCTATCCACTCGGAACGAATATGAAAGGAGATTAACAGGCACAAAAATTAATGTAACATTTAAAATTCATCTTCCCCCCTCGGGGGGGTTTCTAATGCTTTAATAAATAGATCAAAAGTTTATAATCTAGCCACAGCCACCTTAGAGATTGTGTCTGCGTTTCCACAGCTAATAAAAGCTTACACGGCACGTAATGTCGCACTTCCTATTTCACAAGCCAGGGGAGTAGATGTGGGTGGAAGTGACCTCCCTAGGTAACTCATTCCAGTGCTTCACCACCCTCCTAGTCAAATCATTTTTCCTAATATCCAACCTAGACCTCCCGCACTGCAACTTGAGACCATTGCTCCTTGTTCTGTCATCTGCCACCACTGAGAACAGCCGAGCTCCATCCTCTTTGGAACCCCCTTTCAGGTAGTTGAAGGCTGCTATCAAATCCCCCCTCATTCTTCTCTTCTGCAGACTAAATAATCCCAGTTCCCTCAGCCTCTCCTCATAAGTCATGTGCTCCAGACCCCTAATCATTTTTATTGCCCTCCGCTGGACTCTCTCCAATATATCCACATCCTTTCTGTAGTGGGGGCCCCAAAACTGGACGTAATACTCCAGATGTGGCCTCCCCAGTGCCAAATAGAGGGGAATAATCACTTTCCTTGATCTGCTGACAATGCTCCTACTAATGCAGCCCAATATGCCATTAGCCTTCTTGGGAACAAGGGCACACTGCTGACTCATATCCAGCTTCTCGTCCATTGTAATCCCCAGGTCCTTTTCTGCCATTTGTAAGCACTGAATTTCAGGTTAAACCCCCTGTCATTCTCAGAGCAAAACTCAGCCAGAATTGCCTGGTGTCATCTGATTTCACACTGGGGCTGCAAAGATTGCCCCTCTCTACACAATAAATTCAGGCACCAGGCGATTTCCCCCTGGTTTCAGCTCCCACTGCATCTTACCGTGTGGAGCTGCAATAGGGGCTTTGGCTGTTAACTCCTTGCTCCTTCAGCTTGCAAATTCCTTGAATCAATGAACACGTACTTAGCTGGCTGCACACACAGGTGCACTGAACCTGTTCTCCGCTGGCTGCACATAGAGGTGCATTGGACCTGCTCTCCCTCCATCGTGCCATGCTCATTTGCTGGCCTTTTCCACTCCCTTTGCACCGCCAGAAATGACAACATCAGGCGGCAGCAAATCAGGCCCCCTGAAATTTTCTATTGCACATGCTCAGTGTGCAATTTTCAACCGAGCCCCATCTTTGTTAAATCGAGCCTGACTGTTGTGATTTCCAACCGTGCGAGGGCCCTGGTGCTCAGGACAGCCGCGTGTGCTGGGTTTCACGCTGCAAACCTCAGCAGCCGGAAGTGTGCTTGCAATTCTTTTTTCTAAATGAGAAAATGACATCTCCCATTCCCAGCCCCCACTCGCCCAGAATGTAGACACGGCCAAGGGACTTTGCCCAAATGATGAACATTTCAGCCCCCACAGAAAGCTCTTGGGCTGTGAAAACAGGTTTAGAAACTGGTGTGAAGGTTGGGGGAGAAAGGGCTAATGGCACCTGCTCTTCTGTTGTTTTATCTATTGCATGCATGCACAATGGCAAAGTACGCGCTGAGAGCCGCACGGCCACATTTGTAATGGTGAGAGCAATTACCCATTGGAACAATTTACCAAGGGTCAGGGTGAAGTCTCCATCCCTGACCATTTTTCACTCAAGAGTGGATGTTTTTAAGCTCTGCTCTGGGAATTATTTGGGGCAGTCCCATGGCCCTTGTGACACAGGGGGTCAGACTAGATGGATCATGATGGTCCCTTCTGGCCTTGGAATCCATGAATCTCCACCTGTGTAAGTCTAGAGAAACTCTCCTGCTACCAATGGGTTCCTCCGGATTTACACCAACGTAAGAGCAGAATCTGGCCTGGTGAGTCAAATTCCTCCCTAGTGACGCGTTGGAGAGGAGAGTTGGGATCGCAATGCAGGAGATTCGTTAGAAGGGGGTTGGGAACGCTTCTCCCCAGGCAGGTTTCCTTTCCCTTCAGCATGCTGGGAGCTGCTCCTGAGCCGCTAACCCAGGCAGTGCCCTGATGTGAGCAGGTCCCACCCTCTCCCTATCCCGTCTGGCACCAACACACCCAAAGCAGGGGAATGGACTGACCTGTACCTGAGCCTCGTTCCTCATCAGGTAGCGCATCTTGCTGAGGATACACTGCTGGAGCTGCTCCCATGAGATGGCTCTGTCTTCTCTCGTCAGCAGCGGGGGGCCAAACCTGGAAAGCCACAGACAGCGGGTTGGAGACAGTGCTAGAAAAGGAATCACTGGCCAATCCAGGCAGAAGCCATCTCCTTAATGGGCACCCACCCCTCGCTGAGCCTCTCAGACGTCTCTGGCCATCCCCTCTCCTGTTCAGGGGTGAAAGCCCACGGTGTGCTAGGATACATCCCAGGGGCTCTAGCTGGTATGAGAGAAGGGAGCCCCAAAGCACACAGCCATGCAGAGAGGAAGCACTGCCTAGCAGTTAGAGCACAGCACTGGATATCCTGAATTACTGCCTCCATTTGTCAGAGGGATAAACGCAGAGAGAGCGAGAGCAGGCAGACAAGGAGTCAATGGAAAATCCCGGAATGGAACCCAGGAGTCCGGGCACCCATTATTTCGCTCCAACCATTAGACTCCACTCCCTTCTGAAAACCACCCATTACTTGGCGATCGCTGCAACATTGAAGACAAGGTGGCACAAATAGGGCATTTCTGGGGTTCCCACAGCCATCCACTGGGGAGTTTCTTGCATTTCTTTTTAAGCGTTCGGCACCATTCAGGCTCTGAGGGAGGTTCCCCGGCTACATGGGACCGCTGCTCTGCCCCAGGCTATCTGAGGACTTCAGTGAGCGCTGAGCGATGCAGCGCAGGATGCATGAGCGCAGCGCAGCAGCCGAGAGGAGGCAAGCCCCATGATGAGGCTGGAGTGGGTAGGAAGTGGATCACCTGGCCACGGCTGCTGGGACAGCAGGGCTCACGTCCACGCTGGGCCCGTCTGGGTGAAGTCCAAGTGCTTCCCACTCAACTGCGCTCCATAAAGCGTGGCGCATGACAAGCCATTTCCCAGCCGATAATGTTTTACTAGCAGCTTCGAGCACACAGAGAATGGTATTTAATGGGATTTGTGATGTGAAATGCGAATTCATTACCAGCCGATGGCGGCCCGCCAGCCAGCAGTCTGTGTCAGAGCTCCTAGCGGGGCACGCTGAGCCGCTCCCCCCCTCGGCCCGAGAACCAGCTTGAAAGGAAAAGAAATATGGGCTGGGCTTAGCGTCGCTGGGGGCCGAATGGCCCAGCG